TGGTCATTCCTGTGACCAATGGGTCAGGGTTCTAGCAAACCCAGACTGTCTGTTAGAGGTGCTCACCAACCAGAGTGGGCCTGTGATACCTACATGTCCCGTCAGAGAGGTGCAATTCTTAGACCATCGCAAAAAGCCTCAAGGCCCCAGTGCAGAGATCCCCTTATTATAAATAAGAGGTGGGCATGAAACTTAGGAAACTAGGAGCTTGATTAATTAGGGCCCTGGACAGTGGTTTTGTTTGCCCTCCCAAGAAGAAATGCAGCCCAGATCAGCTGCTGGACTTGAATGAACGAACCAAGGCCAGCGGGAAGAGGAGGGGTGGGGGAGGGGAGACAAACAAGGTGTTATTTAACTGGAACAAAGACGGCTTATGATTTAACCTCGGTCCGTAATCATACCCCTAGAGTTAGATGGGAATTAGTTTTAACATTAAGTGAAACGGTGACCTTTATAGTCTTCTCTCGTCTTAATTAAAGCAATTATTAACGATCGCTGTGATTTTCTCTGTACACTTTGTCCAACGGCCTTCATGCATTTGCTTCGAGTGAACGTCACTGCCGTTCGGCGACTCTCCTCTGCCTGCCATGTTTTGTAGCTGTTGTGTTTGCTTGTTTATTTTTGCAGAAGTAGCCCACCTGGGTGATAATGGGTAAGCTAAATCTACTTGGGGAAATTCCAACTTATCAAACTACCCCTAGATATTTTTTAAGAAAATAGATTCTCTGTCCAGAAGCAGAGCGCCATTCGTGACGGCTCTGGCCCCAGCCACCACGACCTCTCCCCTGGTTCCTGTCACACCTCCTGAAGTCGGTCTTCAGTGTTCCTCCCGGTCCCTTAGTCTACTCTCAAGGCGGCAGAGTCTCCTCTGAGCAGGGCCGTTGGAATGAGGCTGGCTTAATTTTACCCATTGGCATTTGTCTCATCAGCCACTCAGCCTCTTGGGATGGGATTTAAGTGTGTCCAAAAATACCTCCCAGGATTCGTTCTTCCGCATTGGCTGTTCAGGAGTGCTACTGCTCCTTAACTGTCTGGATGTAAGGGAACACAGATGAACAGCGGCAAGGGCTGGTAGCAATGTCCCTAATCGGGAAAGGAAAATGGCACGTCACCAGTGTAGACAAAAAATAAACCCCCCGAATTTATTTTTATAATGTGAGTCGCCGTCTTGTGTGTTGGTGACTGAGTCACCGAGTCTTCTGTCCTTTGCTACCTCCTCCACAGTGGTCTCTGACTCTCTCTGCTTAGATGGTAGCGTCTGGTTGGTTCTGGTTTCAGGGACCAGGCTCGTGACTTTGAACTTTATTATGGTGTGGTGCCTTGGTTGGCTAGTAACACAAATGTTCCTGATTCTCAGAATGACTTTTAACTCATGCAAAAGCAAAATAATATAGTCTTTTTGGGGAACCCGGTTAAAAAGGAAAAAAAGAAAACCCCTAATTAAAAAAAAGTTGGTCCAAAACATGGCGCCAAAACTTGAAACCAAGTATTTCTTTTATCCAAATTTTTAAAGGGACCTTAATAAAAAAAAACTGTGTGAAAGGAAACGTCTTTGCCCCTCGGGGCAGGGTGACTGTATTTGACATTAGAATCCCATTTAAAATGGCAGGTAAGAGTATGAACAAAAGCAAAATGTAGTTTCTCAAATATCTACCTTTGTAATTTGGGTGATCTGTCCTTAGATCTTTAAGGTCATTAACTGGAATGGAATGCCTCAAGGCTACTGCTAGCTTGTGAGGCTTTTTGTCTGGAAGCTCCGGGGAGACTGTGAGCCCACAGTTACGGTCACAGGCCATCTCTTCGGCAGGACTGCCCTGACTTGACAGCTATTGGCTGGGTCCCCAGGTACTTTCAGGGCAAGGACTGTTGTGTTAAAACCAGCTGCCATCTGTTGGTTCAATTTTTTGGATTCTAGAAGATGAGTCACTCATTTCTACTGCTGTTCCTTCTGCTGCCAAGAGTAATTTACCTATTGGACTTCATCAGGGAATCTACTGGAATAACTTACCGTGAAGTTTTGTCCTGTGCAAAGTTCATATCCCTGATCAGCAGTGGAAAAGTGGGGCAAGAGTTTCCCCTGCATTTCCTGAAGGTAGGGAGAAGACCCAGTAATCACATGGTGTCATCCTGGCCCTGGGCTCCTTCACAGCTAGAGCTACAGCCCCTGACTGCAGCAGGGTTGGAGTTGGGAATCCTGGTGGTTCCATATTTTCTTGCCAACCCTAACTCACTAGGGTGCTGATGCCTGTCACCAAGTGTGGTGGGGAGGCACTCAATGACCGTAGGTTAAATGAATCATTGGGCTCCGTGATTACAAAATGGGCAAGGCTGACCTACTTGGGGCCCCCAAGAGTACTGTGCTGGGCCAGTTGAGTCCATGTAGGCTACAATGTCTAAGTGACAAGGCCAAGACCACACGATACAGTCTGTGCTTACCAATCCTCCAAAGCAGAGTACGTGGAATGACTTTTAGGAAAAATTCAGGAGACTCTTCCCATCTCGACAAGCTAAGCACTATGATAGAAGCTGAAGGCAGGAGCAGTGGGCTTGTGCAGTGGGCATTGAAGTGTCTGGGGTAGAGGGCTTGCTTCTACCAGTAGAGCAAGCGCTTTCCCCAGGAGAAACGTGAAGATCGGGTCAGTGTATCCCTCCACCGGGTCACATGTGGCAGCTGGAATCTGGGGCTAAAAGACAAGACGTGCTTCTCTGCTCAGTTTCACACAAAGTGGTTTTTATTGTTAGTACCATTTTTGTTCAAAAAAAAAAAGTTTATTATGATGGTCCAGATCTAACTTTATTCACATATCCTAAAATACCCTAAAATATTTCTATGCTTCATGCCTTCCATTTTTTTTTTGCCACCCCCAAATCCTAAGCTAAATAGCAGCAACAAACTCCTAAGTGCAGAGGATTATAACTCCCTCAAGCAGCCTCCATTTCACTCAAGTTTTCTAAAGCTTTCCTGCCTGGAAAAATTACCAAGTCCCAAGTGGGTGGGATTTTATTCTTACCACAGAGTAGGTGTGATTTTATGGGAGGCTCTTCCCCCAGCCTCCTAGATCAGAGGCAGAGCTACAGGCTTGAGTGCCAGTGGGTGGTAAGATTCCTGTACTGTAGGTGCCGGGCTCAAGTCCCTTCTGCTGTGGTCAGTAATTGGAAGAGGGGCCGGTTGTGTGGGCCTGCCTGAGGCATTGCCAGCCCCAGCTGACCTTTCCAAAGGAGAGGCTGGCCAAACCAGGATGGTGTGAGAAATAACCTATTCTAGGGCGATCTGGGTGATACGGGATGCGGTCAGGACAAGGCAAGCCGCCTTCTCTGCAAACAGTAGTGGTGCTAATCTCCAACGCTAAGCATTAGTCAGCTAGAAAGTAACATTTCTAACCCCGTCTTATCTAAGCACAAAACAGACTTGTTGCTGAGGTAGCAACATTTGTGTGCTTCTAGAACTCCCGATTCCTGCCTTCTCTGCATACCTAGGAGGCAAGGGCACAATCAGGACTCAGGGCTTTGCGATGGCAGGGCTCTGGGGGGTCAGGGTGCCCAGAATGTGTGTTTCCTACTTTGAATAGGATTTGGCTGTAAAGGGGGTCCAGATGAGTTGCAGGAGTCCAGCGAAGTTGCAGTAGAAGAGGACTTTGGCAAATGGTCCACATCACCACCTCAGAGATGGAAAAACAAGACTCCGTGGTCCTCAAAGCAGCTCAGGCTAACGCAGTCAGATGTGTTTCACACCAATCAGCCAGGTGCTCAGGCAGGGGCAGGTGGTCTCCCCACATGGCAAGGCAAACCAGGGCACCCTCCTCCTCCTCCAGAAGATTCCCAGTCAGAGAACAGGGCATCGCTGTCATTGCTACAAAGGACCAATGGACCTTCCATGTTCAGGCGAGATACTGAAACTGGGTAGTAAAATAGTGGATCCACGTCCAGAGAAGCCAAGGGGGGCATTAGTGCCAACCTGTACAGGCTTAGAGCTTTGTGCATTTTAAAAAAAGATTCTATTACTGATGAGAGTAAAGGAAATCCGATCACACTGGCTTTTGTCAGTTTTAGAAGAATTCTGCACATCTATCATTTTGGAAGCAACTTCTTTTCCAGCTCTAGGAGTATTCTCGAAGTGTTAATATGTTGGGGCAGAAGCAGATTCATTTTTCTCTTGGAGGCCACCTCACACAGACAGCAATCCCCAAGAACCTGACTGACCACATAAGCTGAGCAAAGGGGCTACTTTCCAGAGACATGGTCAACTGTTTCCTAAAGATGCTTCAAAGAAATACAAATGCCAGTCAGGCATTTCCTAACCCCTTGGTCATTTACCAGATAAGAATCCTCTTGGGATGTGTTTAATCCTGCATCAAATGTAGAAAGGCAAACCATTGGCTTCAAAGACTGAGAGTTCATTGTAAATGCAAGCAGGCACTCCGAAAGGGACCATTGCTCTAGAAAGGCCCTAAACTCTGGAAAGGAGAAGTTGTGGCCACAGCTATTTGAGGAACAGCCTTTGTAACTCCTCTCCTGCCGTGGAGAGAATGGAACAGCTGGGAGGCTTCTTAGCACGCTCAGCACAGGTGGAGAGAGGGCGTGCTATGGAGACAAAAGTCCCGAGGATCCCAGCTGCACCAGGTCCACATGGCACTTGGAACCAGGCTACTTGGGGGGCCACGGCACCCAAGCATGCTCCTTGCTCAAAGACCCAGGACCCCAGCTGCCGGCTGTGGACTCAGGGCCACCCCTCCACTTCTTCCTGTGAGATGCCCAGCACCGACTTGTGGGGGATTCTGCACTCTTGCAGAGATTTGGTGAGGTCAGAGAAACGTCTCCTGGGCACCTCCATTGTTTCAATGCTGCAGTGTCCATAGAGGGTTTTGTTCTTTTGTTCGGCCACAGCAACAACGGTTTGCAAATCATCAGTTGGCCGGAAGTGGCGGACAAACCTTTGGCCTGACGGTGATCTGATGGCGAGCAACAGCCTTGGTTCTTGGTCTGATGGTTCCTCCAAGTTTCTGGGCCTGGGGGAGCCCTGTCTCTTGGTTTGCACGAGTTTCTTCTCCAAGGTGCAAACTTGAGCTCTGGAAGCTTCGTTGGTCTTCAAGGTACAGATCTCCTTTTGGGGAAGAGCCCGGATGCTGCTGAGCTGCAGTGAGCTGGCCTGTTCGGCTACTGTTTCCAAGGCCCCGTCCTCCAGGTTCTTTCTGTTGATAGAAGGAAGGACTGGGTATTTATTGAGACAGGAGGAGGCCCCAAGAGGCACTTGCTGCAGGAGCAGCTCTGGAATCTCATCGGAAGCTCCCTGTTTTGGAGATTTGGGTGCACAGGCTTCTGGCTTTTGGCTACTTGGTGACTCACAGGGAATGGCTGGAGGTGAAGACAGTGTGCGGTGAGAGCCCACCTCTGTGTCCTGGGATTTGCGCAGACTCGGCCGTGTGCGTCCCTTGGCGGACTTGGGCCTTATGACGTGCATGTTCAGTGCGTTTGGCTGCCAGATGCAGCTGTCAGCTGTGGCGCTGACAACGGTGCTGCGTCCAGGTGGTGCTATGTTCACAGGGGCTTCTGTGGCCATTGCTTCTCAAGACCCCTACGGAAGCAGGAAAAAACAGAGGAGGCCGGGGGTTAAACTTATCTGGGATGCCTGGATCCAAGCCACTCACTCCCCTAGTGCACAGAATAAGCACCAACGGGTCCCAGACCAAGGGCTTGCTCTCTGGGTTTCTGGCATCCGGAGAGGGACACCAGCAGTTGTGTGTTCATTCATTCATTCTAGGCATTTGAACTATATCAGTGAACCAAAGCCACTGCAATTTAAATGATTAAGGAAGGAAGGACAGGGGCTAAACCCACAAGTAAATAAGTATTTTCAAAGAGCAATAACTGCTATGTGGAAGAAGTTTTGCACTAAAGAGAGACTAAAGCGGACTAATTCTTACTCTTTTGTGGGTAGGGGTTTCTGATAAAGACCAGAAAAACTAGTAGAAGATTCTAAAAAATATATAGCACTTAATTCTTATTCTCATGAGGAGGGTCCTTTAAGCTGGGACCGGAAGGATGAGAAGGAACGAGCCATGTTACAATCTAGAGCAGAGGGTGGCCAACTATTTCCATAAATATATTTTCATCTCTGGGAGCCACAGGTCCCTGTTGCAACTACTTATCTGCAGCGCAAAGCCAGCACTGGCAACATGTTAAACAACTGTGGCTGTGTTACAGCAAATCTCTATTTACAAAAACTAGGGTTGGGCCAGAGGTGGCCCCAGGGCTACAGTTTGCCCACCCCTGATAACAGAAAAAGCTTCCTTCCAGGGGAGGGAGGAGCCAGGGCGACATCCTGAGCAGGGCAGAGCTTGGCATGTTCAGGGAACTTGCGGGCTCCCAGGTTGGGGACCCCTCCCTACGAGGGGTGGCCCACACTGTCCCATAGACACCAGGCATAGTCAGGAGTGTTACCAGCAGCTGCCTTTGCTCAAGAGAGTGAAAGGGACCTTGTCAGGGGAACTAGGCAGAGATGGGGCTCAACCTCATTCAAGAGCTAAGAGAGGGGGACCAACAGGCTTCTCCCTGCACTCCCCTTTACAGAGCTTCCTTCAACAAGGGACAGTCTGCCCTGGTACATGAGTCACTATGAAGAGGTGACCTCTGGGGTCCTCATTTTTCCTTTTTCCCTCAGTCCTTTCTCAGTGCCCTTTTTATACCTATACTTGGGGTACCCTTAGCTTCACTTCCCTTCCAACTGCCTTTTCATTTGATCTTATGGGGGGGGGTGCAATCACTTAATATATCCCTCCACTGCCCTGATTTGTCACTTGGGATTCCCGGAGAGGAGCACGGAAGCGCCACTGCTGATCTGGCCATGTGCCAGAATGCACAGGGCCTTCTAGACCTGGGGGCAATAGGCTTTCTCCATAAAGAGCCAGGCAGTAAGGAACTTCAGCCACCCAGTTCTGCCCTTGTAGTGTGAAAGTTGCCACCTACAGTAGGTAAAGGAACGGTGTGGCCGTGTTTCCATGGAACTTCATTTATGGACCCTGAAATTTGAACTCCATATGATATTTCACGTGTCACAAAATTTCATTGTTTTCAATGATTCACTAATGTAAAAGCTCTTCTTAGCTCATAAGCCACACACAAATGAAATGGGCTAGATATGGCCTATGGGCCATGGTTTAACCTTGTCCTAGGTCAACTCTCCAGGGGAATCTGGCACATGCTAGTTCTATGGATTTATGAGCCAGAAAGGTAGAGCGATTGCCCACTGGTCACATAGCCAGCTGCTGGTCGCACATCCAGTCCTGTGTCCTTTGCACCCAAACAAGCTGCTTCTCGAGGACCAGTCTTGGCCCTCTCCTAGCACATCACGTCCTGTCCCTCTGTTGGCTGCCCTTCCCAGCTACTACGTGGATACGCTGAGGGCCTCTGTAATGGGCTCTCCCAGCACAGGTGCACCTGAGTGCTAGTCAAACCTGCCTGAGTGCTAGTTAAATCCACCTGAGTGCTAGTTAAATGCTCAGAAGGGATGCACTGAAGTGTGGCGGGAGATGGGAGCATTTCTCTGCGCAGGTATTGCCAAGTCATGACACCTCCTCTTCCACCTTGGTGGCCCCTTCACTCACCATTACCACCACTGCCTCCTCCCAATCTCTAGTTACAGCTTTCTCCAAACGCTACAAGTTTTGGGGCTCCCTCCCTCCCTCTGAACCCTGGCTACTGCCGTGACTCCTGCTTTCCCTGCTTACAAGCTGCCCAGGAGTGCCCCAGTCTTCTCAAGACCCTCTGGTGACTTCAGTACCTTGCAGTCCTCAGGAATTAGCACCTTTGGACGCAAAGGACACGGACCTGGGAGTTACAAGACCTGGGTTCAATTTCAGGCTCTGCCGCCAGCTAGTTTGGAGACCTTGGAGCCACTGCTCTATCTTTTCAGCTTATCTCATCATCATATTAACCATATGACTGCAGAGATAGTATTTAAACACCTCCAGTCTCCTCATCTTGTAACACGAGGCCAGTAACATGAAATACTGCAGGTGAGTCAGGAAGCCCCAGGCTTGTTGCATAGTAGAGGCTTAATTAACTATGAAGGTTTGTGTTTTGTTTTGTTTTTGACTGTTCAGTGCTTTCCATTATTCTAGGTCCAAAAGCCTCACCTGTTGCTTTAGAGCTTTGCCCAGGGTGTTTTTGGTGGGTCTAACCCTGGTCCATACTAACCAGCTGGTGAATCCTGGGACCCAGGCCTGCCTGTCCTCTGCACAGAAATGCCGGGAGGTGGAATTCAGTAAGCTACCTACTACCTCGGCAGTTCCTTCAAAAAATGCCAGGAAAATTCCCCAGTTGATCACTTCCCTTCTACACGCTTCCTCCCCTCAAACTCACTTCCTCCAGGCACCCTTCATCACGCAGTCCTGAACAACACAACTCAAGCTTTGTATTCGAGTCTCACCACGCTGTGTGTGCTACCACTGCTGCCTAATTTTAGTGATCGCTTTCAGGAATATCCTCTTTCTCACCACTCAACACAACATCCCTGTATATTCCTGATGTCCTGCTCGGTTCAAAATTCTTGGACAATGTTACCGGCTCGTGCTTATTTTAAAGGCCTCTCTGTTTTCCCCGTTCCGCGCGCAGCCCGAGTGTCTCTCCACTCCCCTCTTCCACTTCTCCCTCGTCTTTCACACCCAGTCTGGCTGCTAGTAGCTCAGGAGTCTTCGTTTTAGCAAAGTTTTGGCATCAGAAAAAAGCCTGCCCATCTCCTTGTTAATTTCGTCTATTTTCTGATCAACTGTGAGGACTGTGTTTCTCCCCCTCTAGTTCACAAAGCTTTTTCTGGTAATGAGGCAGCTTTTGCACTTTTACTTAGGATGGCTCGAGAAGGTCAAACTGTCCACCTGTTCTGCCAAAGATAAGTGCAGCTGGCAAGCCCACCCCCCTCCTCTCTGCCCACCCTCCCAGCTTGTGGAAGGGCTATTAATTTGCCACAGCTTCTGCAGAATTATCACAGGCTCAGCTTCCAACACCCACACATGCCTCGGGAAGGTTTAACTGTCAGTAAGTTTGGTAACTTAGAAACCTCTTCCTTAACAACTTTGATGGGGAAAGTCATGTGTTCTCACAGGCTCTCTGCTGGATTATTTTTAACAGTCAAACTTGACTATGTACATGCACTTTCCATACCTTTTGGGACTATATAATTATCCACGTTCAGGGGGTGTCATCTTCGAGACACCCTGGTCATAAGATAACATGACTGCAAGCTATCTCAGAGAAAAACCTCAATGATGACTAATTCCTATAAGCCCACTCATGGTTATTTAGAGACTAACACCTCCTTCAGGTAAAACCATTATATCCAACCTGCTTTCATAACCCACTGCCTCCTCCCGAGTGCAAAGACCATCTGTTACATGGAGGGAACACCAACTCTTCCCAACATCCATCACATGTCGAGGGGAAGTGGGGGGGGGGAACAGGTGTTGGGGGATCTGGGCCACCTGTGTCTTTATATTCACACCTTGAGTCCCAAATTCTGCTCACCGCCCTCAGTACAGGAAGGCCTCTCCCTCTCCGGCAGCCATCATATTCCTGCCCGGCTCATTTTGCCACCTCTAGGCCTGGCAGCCACTCAACCACAAAGTGATTTGACAAGATCTAGGCGTAGGCATCCATCAAGCTGCTAGCTGAATAGGCAAGTGGCCTGTTTACTTAAACACAATAGCTGTACCCCAGAGGCCTGCTAGGAGTCAGGAAACAAACACTGATTATGGTTTCCAAGAAATTGCCAGAAGGGCAGGCGCCCATGCCTTAAGATTCATCATCAAATCAACTGGGAAGAAGGAAGATTTGACACCATCCAGCTAAAGCCGGATTCTTACCTCCCAAGAGTGTCCACAATCCACCACAGGGTCAGACCACCCTATTTCGCTCACAACCCAAATCTAAACCTACAGTAAATGTAAGAAAATATAACCACCTACACACCATCTGCTGGTATATACCAGGATGCATACATTTGAATTGGTCTTTTAAAAATGTGTATTAGTTAATTCTATCCCCTGCCAAACACTTAGAAGAACCAACAGGAGATGGTAGTTGGCCTGAGAGTGAGAAAACTTTGGTACCATTCCCAGTTCTACCCCTGACTAATGATTAGAATACACTGTCCTATGCACAGTGCCACCGTGAACCACAAGCCCCCAAGTGATCAAAGGTCTGGAAAGGGAAGTGGGATGATTCCAGAGGCAGAGGGCGGGGAGGTGGCAGAGATAACTCAATTATTTCCAAGTTCTGGCGGTGGCTCCAGAAGGACGCGAGCTTAAGGGAGCAGGAGGAGGGATTTGGGGGAGGGGCATGGGAGCGTCTGGGAAGTGAGAGTTGAATAGGGTGAAAGAGCACAGGTCTGGGGGAGGATGCATCTGGTTCTGGCGTCCGCATGTGACCCAGCCATCCTTTCTCTCTGGGTCTGTCCCCCTCGTCACAGCCCAGCCGGGAGGGCATGGCCCCGCGGCTTCGGAGCGCCCCGGGCTTCCGCAGAGCCCGGCTGTCCGGTCTGGGTAACGGTGAGCTGTGGCCCGGCTC